ATGTGAGCAGTGGGACTCCTCTCTGCCGCGGTGAGAGTGTGGAAGGGGGTAACTGTGCTGGAAAGGCGTTTGACAGCGTCTACCAAAGCTGGATGTTGTGCATCACCCACGAGCCAGCAATTCCACTCCCGAGGATACACTGGACAGGAACGCCTGCGTAGGTGCACTAAGAGATGTGAAGGGAAATGTTCACGACAGGCTATTCCTAATTGCTTCAACCTGGAAAACATCAAAATTGTAACCATAGAATGGCTAGATAATTTGTGGCATACTTACCCAAAGGAATATAATACAGCAAAGGGAAAGAATGAACTATTTGTACATGCGAACAACCTGGATGAATCCCATGAACATAATTTTCAGTAAAATAAAGAAGACGACGACAAAAAGCTATACCACACGATTCCATCTGTATACATTTAAAAAGAGACAAAACTAACCGATGATGATGGAAGTGCAGACTTTGCACGGTCGTGGGGGGGGGGGAGAGGTTTCTGAGGGTGCAGAGCAGGTCCTATGTCTTGCTCTAGATGGTAGTCACCCTTGATACAGGTGGGCTGTTCATTTTGTGGCAATTGATCAAGCTGTGTACTTAGGGTTTGGGTACTTTTCTGTATGCATGTTATATTTTAATCAGAAGTTTCCCTTAACAAAGGAAGGATGAGAGACAATTGTGTAGCCCATAGAGAAATAAATTTGACTCGGGCAAGAACAGTAGTGGAGGCAGTCAGAATGGGTGGATTTTGGCAGTATGGCCCGTGGAGATTATTGACGGCTTAGGCAGACATATGTATGGTGAGGGTGGGAAAGGTTAGGTAAATGGGGAAGAAGGGTGACGCTCAGACGTTCCGCCCATGCTATCAGGGGGACCGCGGGGCCGTTTGTGGGGCATGGACTTTTGTGCTAGATCCCAGTCCCTAGCGTCAGGAGCATCTCTCCGGTAATTCCCCCTTTCCACTCTCTGCGTCATTCATTTCCCCTAGAGATTGTATCATTCCCATCAGCACGTAAACATGTTGTTATTTCTGCCACCTTAAAGAAATGTTGTATCGATGCCTTGCATGCACCAACTGCCCTTCCTCCACTGCTCTGCAGAAGACCTCCAAACAGTTCTGCACACTCTCTGCCTCTAACTTCTCTCCCCCATTTTCTTTTAAACTTGCTTTGCCTCTCTCCTCCCTGAAACTGCTGTAGTTATGGTAACCAGTGACTTGAACTTTGCTAAATCCAATGGTCAATTATTAGCCCTTCTCTTTACTTGATCTGTTGTAAGTGTTGCACTTGGTTGATCAGTCTTTCCTTCTCCATTTGGTCTTCAGGGCATCACATTCTCTTGATTCCTCACTGGCTGCTCTTTTATAAACTCCTTAAGTGGTGTCCTGCTGGTGCCTGAAGTCTGTTCTGGTGGGCGCACTTACACCACAGCAGTTGGCAGAGGAAATCTGCAAATACAAATCAAGTCCCCGCCCCTCCCCCTCCATGTCTATTTCTTCCCTGGAGAACTGGTTTACCAGCACAACACTTCTTATGAGCCCAGGCAAAAACATTTTTTAAAAATATAACACAACCCTACTCATTGATTTATAGAATGGTAGGTTAGGAGAAATTTGGAGTTAGACGCAGTGTGGATTAGAAAACGTCAAAAATGTATGGAATATCTCCCGACTCCTATACCTTCCTGACAAATTCCTACTAAACTCTCTGTCTCTGCGGGTCACCCTCCCTCAGGGCACTCAACTGTGGCCCACTTTTGTGTCATCTTCTGGTCCCATGTCTGTCTTTTGTTCAGTGATGAGCTTCCTGACTGTGAGCAGCTGTGGAACAGTGATCACTTGCCAGGACTCGAAGCCTGGCTGGCTCGGTCTGAATTCTGATCTCATCATCTGATTGTTATGATCTGAGCAGCCCTGAGCAATTACTAAGTGACTCAGCTGACTCCATCTGTAGAATTGGGGAAGTAGCAGGACATTTCTCACAGAGCGCCAGGATGGAATAATTTAATATACCCAGAAGCACTTAGAACAACACTTGCCCTTAGTAAGCACCCAGTGAATTCAGCTACTGTTAGTATTTATTTTGTTCTCAGTTGCCATCCTACTGTCTGATGCATGTCACATGGTATGTATTTAATATGTTTGATATGTATATGAAGTGCCAAGTATATGAGCAAAGGTACATATACCTTTGTATATGTACCAAACAGGGTACATATATAGGGAGGTAGGGAAGAGACCTATCCTTGTGTGTTGGAGGGAGGGGATTCAACAACAGACGAGATTTGAAATAGGGCTCAAAGGGCCGGGAGAATGTGGATAGATGAGGAAGGTCAACGGATACTTGAGCAGGCATCTGTGCAACGAACCCTGCTCTCCAAAAAGTTAGGCCATTTGGCAAACATAGCAACCAAATGTGAAAAATAACTAGCATTAAGTTGGTTTCATGTCAAGTTAGTAGCACGCTTGCTATCAAAATTCCATTTCTCCCCTCCCTGGTGTCTGCTGAAGTCTTTACTCAGTGTTTTGCTTTAGGAAGAGAATAGATTTAAATTATCGAACAATGCACTTGAAGAGAAAGCAGGTAAAAGTCTGGAATGTCCTGGTAGTCTAGAGCAGTTTTTTAATACATTCCAGAGACACTCACGTAGTAGGGTGACATTTCCACAGCCATCTAAAAATTCCTTGCCAACGACAGAGACTGTGACCCTGGATTCTTCTCTCGCCCACGTGCACCGTCACTCTGCCTCGGGTGAATTGTTGTTCCCTTTGGAACTCACCGGCGGCAAATCAAAGACAAGCTCAGTCGGCTCCGCCCTGTGATTGTGTGAAAAGAAAGGCTGCTGTGCCGAACAAGCTGGGTATTGATTTGCCTTTTTTAGGACCCGCACAGGGATTCAGGTTGACGTCATTCTCTTTGAGGCTGTTATTCTTTGTCATTGAGCCATTGTTCCTGAGTTGACAGGAGTGGATCCGAGCGAGAGGCGAGGCCTGGTGTGTAAGATGGATCAGGACTGTTGTGAGAATTATTGTTAGTCCTCCCCCCAGGCCTGTAAGGTGGAGCCTCGGGGGCAAGACAGGTGTGCGTTTGGATCTGGCCTCCATCGCTTTGCGGTGGGTGACCTAGGAGCCCTGTGCGCCTTTCATTTTGAACCTCACTTTCCCTCTTCTGTGGCCAGGGGTCAGGGCAGTCCCCTGGCAGTGGGGCGGGTTTCAGGGCCCCCGGGCTCTGGGTGACAGAGCGCCAGAGGCTCACTAGGTGCTCAGAAAGTGCTCGTGCTTTTCAAAGCTCCTTCCTTCCAGAAAGTGCTATGTCTGCTACGTGCATGGTGGGATTTTCTTTCCATTGACACGGATGTGTGCGCCTTAGCACCCAGGTGGAACTTTTATTTTATGAACCTGCGCTGGGAGTGTAGGTGTTTGTGTGTGTGCTCCCGGCGGGAGGGGCAGGCAGGCAGGCACAGGAGGGACAACAGTCCTGGGACACTTCCCTGCAGACCACCGTCACCCCCTCCCCCTTTTTCTGCTCTTTCATTTCATCCAGAAAGCAAATCCATTCATCAACAGGAACAGAAAAAAGTAGCGGGCTGGTCTGAAAGTGCATTGGGCAAGGAAAACCCATTCTGTTCTTACAGCATCTTTAATATTCATGAGAAACACGATGCTTCACAATCACAAAATTCATAAACAGCTGTCATTCTCAAAAGATACCATACCTTGGGTGGTTTCAGTGAAACCCAAACTTTTGTGAACTTTACAAAATGTTACTACAAACCAGGGTTTGGTGAGACAGTAGTCTGTCAATGAGGAGGCTGGAGAGCGGCCCTCTGGTAAGGAAGCACTCTTTAAGTTGGCCTCCAAGCACTTCCGGTAGCCCCATCCCAGCTTAGTGGGTGGTGGGCAGGGGAGCTCTGCTCTGTGTCCAAGGCCTCGGCATTCCGGTGGATCTTTCATCTGCCTGGTTCATTTTGGGCTTGGGGATAATAAAATGTGTATTTGTATCTCATTTATCTATGCTCAGGAACCGCACAAATTACAAGACTGAGAGAAAATACTTTTAGTCATTATAAAATAGGGGCGATTAAACACCACCTTAAGAGAAATTCATGTCGTCGTATTTTCACTTTTCAATGTGAAAATATTGCACGGACTCAAATGTTCCGCCTTCATACCCAGAGCGCTGGCTGTGGGGAGGGAGAAGGTGCACCGGACCTGCTGAGAACCTGTGTTCAAGTCCTGACTGTGCCGCTTGGGAGCTTCCTGATCTTGGGCAAATGGCTTCACCCCTCTGACTTTATTTTTCCACTTGGGAAATGGGAGGTATTATAAACACGCACAGAGTTGTGGGCCATGACATTCTGCAGCTGAGTTTGGCCTGCTTTTTATTTCTGTCTCCGCTGGACCAGGAAGGCCTGCCACCCAGGGCTCCTGCCAGGGGTCTGCAGGAAGCCCCTTCTGCTTTCCCAGCCAGTCCCTTGCCAGTGCCGGCTTGCCAATTGCCCAGATGGCCCCATTCCCTCACGCTCTGGTCGGAGAGAGAGGAGTGAACAGCACCCGCCCTGACTGGTGGGGTGCGGGTGGTTGGGCATCATTCAGCAAAGAGAGAGGTCACAGGTTCAATCCCCTGGTCAGGGCACATGCCTGGGTTGCAGGTTTGGTTCCTGGTGGAGGCTTGTAGGAGAGGCACCTTATTAATGTTTCTCTTCCTCTCTTTCTCCCTCCCCTCCCCTCTAAGTAAATAAATACAAATCTTAAAAAAAAACCAAAACATAATAGTATTCAAGAGGATGGATGCCACTGAGTGAGAATAGAGGCCTGTCACCGAACCCTTGGGAACGCCAATGTTTAAGGGGCAGGGGGAGGCAGAGGGCCAGCCAGGAGGGAGGTGGGCATGCGAGGGCAGGACCGGCCCAGGCAAAAAGTCCAGGCAGGAACCGGTCAGCTGCACATGCTCCTCTGGTGACCTTGGGGTGCCTGATGGGTCATGTTTCCTTTCTCTGCTGACAGAGGCAGGAGCCAGGAGGACGGAGGCGGCCGAGGAGCTGGACCGCCCCGGGGAGAACGGCGGGACCCTGGAGGGCGCAGGAGAGCAAGGTAAGCCCCACTGCACGCCACTGACGGGGCCCGAAATCCTCCCAGTACCCTTCTTCCTTCTGCTCTGGCCACGGCTCAGGGAAGCACAGACAGGCACCGTGATTCGCACTGAAGCGCTGGAGACGCCGAACTCAAGGTGCGATGCTTTTTCCAGCCTGATGGAGCTGGGGTTGAACCTCGCTCTTCTGAGCCTTGGCCCCGAGTCCTTTGCCCTGGACCGGCCTCGTGGCTCGGGAGGCCCCCAGGCGCTTCCCGTTCCAAAGCAGCAGCAGCAGCAGCAGCAGCAGCCGGCGCTGCGCCTGGGTCTCTGAGCCACCTGGGAGGCCTCGCTGCCCCACGCGCGCCCGGTCTCGGTGGGAAAATACCTGGGCAAAGGCGGTCCATCCTAACGTCCTCGTGGCTAGTCATCTCATGGTTTCTTGCCTTAACTCAGTGGTTTTGGCTAGTGTTCATTTCTTGCTGCTGTGCTCAGCGTGCTTCACCCTGGTCACTTCTGCCAGGTAACGGGTGGGCCCTGGGACGAAGAGACCACCCGGCGTCCCGCTGGCACGCCGGCGCCCCCTAGCGGTACTGGCGGTAGCGCAGTGGGGTGGGCAGCGCCCGGGGCCTTGGTTGGGGAGGAAGAGCCTTTTTTCCAAAGGAGAGGTTCCTGGTGCCGTGGCCTGTGGCAGTTTGGGGACTGTGGGACACAGGGACCCTGTGAGGCTCTGGAATGAGGAGGGTTTTTACCACACTCAGAAGGAGATTCTGCTGGGGTTCTCAGAGGCCCCAGGTTAACGCCAGGTGTCACTGGCTGTCACATTGCCTCCTAGTTGGACTTCCCTCCTTGTTCATCTGAACTTCCTTCCAAGGCTTCCGGATTTTTCAACCACGCTGTGAAGTATTGCGAAGCGTTGGGAATGGCAGGCAGTCAGAAGCTCTGGTGCCAGAGTCGCAAGACCTAGTTGTTGGGGCAGTCGGTTCCCCTCCCCAACCCTGTCCCTTAACCTGTGGCTTCCCACCTTTCACAGGGCACTGCGCCAAAGGTGCCCTGAGGTGTGAAAGGTGTGAAAACAACAATGACAGTACTAGCAGCGGTTGGTATTTATTGAGTGGCCACTACATGGCCGGATATGGCCCTGAGCATGGTTCGTGTGTTAAGCCATTAGTCCTCACACAGCCCTGTGAGGAAACTGAGGCAGAGCCCGAGGTCACACAGCCAATAAGAGCCACGCCAGGATGTGACCCCGGCTGCAATGAACAAGAGTAGGCATAGGACGAAAGTGATGTGAGATGGTGCGGATGAAGATGGTTACACTGGAAATGTAAAAAAACAAAACAACAAACAACGAAAACCTACCACTTTGGCTCATGTCTTTCAATCACTCTTACCCGAGAAAAGAGACTAGTGGCAATGTTATCTCCTGCAGGAAGCCGTGGGCTGCAGTAACGGTCCCCATGCTGGGCTCCCGCCACCTCCTGTCTGTCAGCGCCACGGCAGCTCATCATCTGTGCACTGTGAGCCATCTGAAGGCAGGGACAGTGACCCAGAGCCTGGCCCCAGGGCGTTGGCTGCGCAGCTTGGATGCTGGGCCTCTGGGTACTCTTGGCATTTTCTCCTTCCTCTCCTCCCTCCCACTCCTTCGAGGCAGCTGGATCTCTTGCCATCTTCCCAGGAGAGTCCCTGTTGAGAGGTTTTGAGGGTCCATCTGAATGTCAGAGGAGCAGGTCTGTGGTCCTCTAAGGGGTGAGTCATCTTCACGACTCTGGGGCTTTGCGTAGGAGGAAGCCGAAGGTGGTGAGTGTAGGGGCCGAGGCAGCGGCTGGGGGAGGCCGGTGTCAGTGCTGTGGGTGGGAACCAAGCCCACGCTCCCCAGGGGAGCAGGTCAAGGGCAGGTCAAGGACGGTAAATGGCAGTAAAAGGGCAGGAAGGGGCACAGTTCTGTATTCCAGGTGCGAGGCCAGGAAAGGAATAGGGCCTACTTACCCTGTGAGCTCTGACTAGCACCTGCTCCCCCCTGCTTAGTGCTTTCTGTGGACTTTATTAAAAAAAAAGAAAAAAGGAAAAAGATTGAGCCGTAAGAGGAGGTACCTGAAACCTGATACCTTTGAGAAGATGAAGAGAGGCAGCCTGGAGAGAAGTCGCCCCCCCCCCCCCGCCCCCGCTTAGACCTCCCCTCCCCGAGCCGCAGCCAGCCTCAGTTTCTCCAAGTGGGAAGTGAGAATTCCTGGGGGGGGGTGGCTAAAGGTGCTTCTGCAGGAGAAAGGGTCCGGCAGGGTGGCTGGACCACTGTGGGGAACGCGACAAACGTGAGCTGGAAATGAAGGAAATGCCTGGAAGGACCCATCGATCTTTCTCTTACTTCTTTCAGTTGAATCAGGGAATCAAGACCACATTTTACCCTTTTCCGCGTATTATTTCCATACTGCAACAGTTCAGTTTCCCTTGTGATTTGCTTCAGTTGTCACACATTTTGAGTCAAACCCATGTCACTGAATGCGGGAGGGGTGTTGATGATGATGCTTTGTGGTCTGAAGGACAACTTCAAAATCAGGGAGAATTAATTAAGCCCGGAGGCAACTCACGTGAAAAAAAGGAAACCAAGTCGCCTCTACTCTCCCAAATGCCCTTCGTTGTTTGGTGAGGCATTTTGTTGAAAACTTGGTTGCCAAACGTATGTGCCAGAATTTCTCACAATGGGGAAAAAAACCCTTCTGGTAACTTAAATACCTGACAGAAGCATTTCAGCATTAAATCATCAATCCTCCCACCTGCTGCCAACTATAACTGCTTCCCTTTATCATGATAATACAGACTGTCTGATTCTCTGGTAGAGTTTTTTGGGCAGCAGCGTAATCGTAATCAACACCTGGGAAAATTTGCTCGTGATTCTGAGATTTCAGTCGTCCTGTCAGGGTGGACTCTGCTTTCCCCACCCTGAGATTTTCATGGCTCACGACCGTGACTGAGAACTCCAGCCACACGGTCTGTCATCCGTTTGTCTGGGTGTCAGCTCGCCGTGTACGGTGAACACGCCCAATGTTTTAGAGGGCGCCCACGGACAGAGCGTCACATTACTGATCATGTGAGAGCAGGACTTCCCCATGGGGTCCGCGTTGGCTGGAGGGATGAGATCCCTTGTGAAAAGAGGGGCCAGCGGTTTGTAGGCAACGGATCGGAATTCTCCCTCACGCCATCAGCGGTCAGGACGGACCACGGCACCCTGGCTCCCGGGGGAGGCTTAGCGCACATCCCTGCCTCTGAGGGCTGGCGTGTTAGTTTCCGTATTTCTACTTAACTGTTCCTGTATTCGTTCAACCACTGCCTTTTCCGTGCTAGGCAGTGGTCTAGGTATTGGGAACGCATCAGGGAACCAAACAACGTAGCCCTCACAAAGCTTCTGGTGTCGGGATGGGTCGTTGATCTGGTTCCTTTATTTGAATGTATATTTTAAATTATAAAATGTCTTAACATGAAAAACATAGGAAATAATTTCAATTTTAAAATACTTTTAATATATTTATTTTTCTTTTTAAAAAATGGTTGGCATAGTAGAACCTTTGGAGGACACACACAAAAAGAAACTAAATTCCCCCAAAGTTCCTGGGGGTGGGCCGGGGGCCACTGAGTGCAGCCAGTCTGTCCATAGGAATCAGGACAAGCCTGATGTCGCTGTCCCTGGGGAACCCGAGGCACCTCCGACCCTGAAACCGGAGAAGCCGGCGTTCGGGCTGCCTGTCACCTGCCCAGCCCAACGAGCAGGGACAGGGATTGAACCTTTATGAGCGCTTTATTCTGATGGCCGGCGATCTGAGAAGACGGCGGGTTTGTACCCTAACAGAACCATCCTAAAGTTCCATTTTAAACCAACTCTTTTTATAAGGAGAAGAAAAGCAAGGGGTTTGGAATTCAGAAAAGAGGTTAATCGGATAAAAGCCTCAGTCCGGCAATTTCCCTAGCATCCATTCATCCACTGACCGGTGGTTTTTTTAATCTGTGTCCTGGGTGATTTTCTTTATCTTTGTCCTGGGTTTTGGACTGTCTCTCCCTGGAACACCGTGGCTTAGAGGCCACCTCGATCGCTTACGGTCTCTTGTGGAACACAAAGGTCAGTCGCTCATGGTCTCCTAGAGTGGCAGGAGGGGGAGGGTGGAGGGCATACCTTCAGTTCCTGAAACAATAGCTTTTCACATGCTTTCACTACTAGGCTTATTAACTATGACCTAAAACCAAAATGTTCTAACTCTTGAGTTTCCCTATCAATTCCACTCCAACAGTGTAGTCACGATTATTGTTTTGCATGTTTCCTTCCTGTCTTTCGGAAGTGCATTTTTTTACTTAACTGCAACCATATTGTATCCTGCTTGTAGGTTGCTTTTGCCTGAAATATAGTGTTATCTTTACTCCAAAACACCAGCATCTGTATCATTATCATCAACAGAAGGGGCCACAACCAGGACACAAAGGTGGTGTGTGTGCGTGTGTAACGAGCTGTGTGTATCTGTGTGTGTGTGTGTGTGTGTTTGTGCTGACGATAAGGAACACGTTTGCTCTCTCCCTCTGAGGTGAGCCACTGAGCTGGACGGATGCCCTAGATGAAGGGAGCTGCCCGTGGACAGGAGACGGAGGAGAATCTTTCTGTTACCAGTCATTTTGCCAGATGGTTGGATCCTCTCTGGTGTTAGAAATCCCCTCTTTGGGCTGCCTGTGTGTCCCCTTTGGTTCCAGGACTCTTGGTGCTCTTGATAATTCTGTTGCCAGGGTTGCCCCTGAGAGTTGCCACCTTCTCCAGGGATTTCAGGTCCACAAGAAGAAAATCGGACTCCACAGCTCTATTCCTTGTTCTTTACTGGAGGGCTTGAAATGAGAGAGGTGCCTGTGTGAACTACGTAGCACAGTGCCTGGCACACGGTGGCCTGACTCACGTTAGACCCCCCCAGTCCCCTTTCCCACACCCAAGCGCAGGTGTGTGCTGATTCTCCCTGTAACGGATTATCCATCTGGGACCTATTGCCCTGCA